ACATCTAGCCTCCGTACTTGTCCAACACATCTAACACGCGGCTTGCTTGGGGACCCAGTACATGACTGCACGCAGCCGTACCACGTAAAACGTTCAGGTTAAAATGATAAACACACTTTTTAGACATTGCATGTTCAATACCAACTTGAGAGCAGTAGAAAAAGCTGAGTAATCAAACAAGTCCTGGTTCCTTGAAATCCATCAGTGAAATTTTAACGTTTAGAAACGAGATAATCCCCGGTGAGCCGAGACTGGTATAGGACATTCTGAACATCCTGTAGAATCGTGTCACTTCTGAAAATACACATGGATGGAAGCGAGAGCATTTAATTACTGAACTGATTAAAGTCACTGTCTCCGCGCTGTTTCCGTCAGAACGATAGGCTACTGCGCTTTAGTTTCGTAACAAGTGTTGTTGTAATGCTTGTAACAAATAAAGTCCTGAATGGTATACTTTGTAACTGAGAAACTGCGACTCCGGACTGCTATGCTGCGAGTGGTCAGGCCAAAGAACACCAAAATGGGCCCTTTGAGCATGTGCCATGATATAAACGCATTAAGCGGAGGAGATGGACAAAGGAAGGAAGCGGCGTAGGTAGGGTAATTTTCGCGGGCTACGTGGGAGTGAGTGAGGTCTGAGAATGAAGGGGACAACAGGTCAATGACTCACGCTTTTCCGCCACACTTTTTGTGAAGGATGCGCAAAAAGTCGTACAGCACTTCCACCAGGAGGGAAAGAAGAGCCGGTGATTCAGCGGCACCGGATATGTCTTTGACTATAGTGTCCTCAATGAATTCGCGGACCCGCAGAAGATTGGCCTCCGACGGAAGATCATCGGCTGCTGTCAACTGACCCGACTCGTCGGAGGTCAATCGAGGCAGAGGAGAGAGGATGCCGATAAGATAATTGCAGGCGCTCTGGTTATTGGGATAGGCACGGATAGCATCCGTCGCAAACCGAAACTCCTGCAAGGGATAGTGGACGAGTGATCGACAGAAATTCGGAATGCAGCAGACTAGAAAGATTCTGTAGATTTAAATACTATGCCAGTAATGTTTTAAACTGTACCCTGTCGAAAATTTCGCCGTCCAGGCCTTCCTCAATCACTGTGTAGAAGCGATGATTCCACGCAGAATTATTGAAAATGTCTTCTCGTAGAAGAGTGCCGCAGAACTCCAGTTCATTTGACGGTGGAATCGCAAAGAAGTCAACTAGCCATCGACGATACTGCCAGGCGTGGTAATTTTTGGCATCGTCAGCGAGAACGCTTTTTACGAGATCTAATTCACGGGCCAGGGTCTGAAACTGTTCAGATTCGGGTTTCTTGAAGACTTCCTTCGGAGAGTCGTCTTTGAACATTTGCTCCATCAACCATTGATAGTGGTACCAAAGCTGGGGGGAAAACGCGTATGATGGTGAAAAGAAGGTAAACAAAACAACGCTAGAAGAAAAACTCTAGACAGAAGCCATATGTCTCCATGATCAATCTTCGAAGTCTCAGACAGTATTTGAGTTTTTAGTTAGCACCTGTGCGGTCAATATGGTGTCGCTTGTAACCCCTATATGGTGTCTTCTTTGTCGAAAAGTAAATTACTTAAATTGTTACAAATATGCAGCATTAAGATATCCACGCTTTGGTCAGAAAATGACAGCAATTACAACATACGAAAGCTGATGGCAAAGGTTTGCGAAATCCAGAATTTGTTAATGGTATTTTTCTGATGATAATTTGCAGGAAGCTGTCTTTTTTAAGAAAAACTAGGCGTTTCATCCATATCCCCGTGTAAAATTATGTGGAGAAGAGCAGATAGCAGTCGAGAAATCTAAGCCATGTAAACGAACAGATATTGAGCACTTTAGCTTTTCTTTTTATTCACCCTTCACAGTTCCACTTTTTCTCTTGGATTTGGGAGACATTTCCAGTTTGTATGGAACAAAAGGTATTATTTACCTCGAGATCTCGTTGCTAATAGAAGGATTCCACAGCTTCTGAAGTTCTCAGACATGTGGCATTATATTTTAATATCAGAAGTTCCAGTTTACATGGAGGCTGCGTACCTATGCTCCCATCCTAATTTAAACGGACGCCTAGCCTGGCCATGTTACCCCCACTACTAAATACTGAAATTACCATATTATAAAAACCTCGCATCTAGTGTGTCAAAACCACTTGCAAAATTTACGTCTATTTGGGGAAAGGTGGACCTCTATGCGTCCCCTGATCTTTTCTTATACGGAATCTAATAGAAAAGGACTTCCAGTAACCACTTATTACAAACAGACAAGACCAACCTATTTTGAGACCACTTTGATTGGTTGATGGGCTTCTAGGCGCACTGAACTCTATTGGTTCAAGCGTTCTGTCCCCTACTGAACCTGTGTTAAGTACCAGACGTTTGCACTACTTTACTGTTCGATATTCAGAAAAAGATTAGTGGGACACGAGTGACGACCGTGTATCGCAAACAGACCATCAGTAGTCGGTACATAAAGATCTGCTGTAAAGGTGATTATTCACAAAGAATGAGACATTTCAGGGTTTGCCTTCGCTTGCTTTAGAACACTAAATATTTGTACTTCCGGTGACAACGATCATACCTGGTGACTTAGACCTCAGGGATGGGCCTGACCAGCTTCCAGAATAATGTGAAAACAATGTTAAGTTTAAGCTTAACGTCGAACAACTGCCTTGTAAGCTATAGAGTCGAAAATCTTTGAAGACTTCATTTGACAGTTGGCCTTGTCGAGACCGTTTCCATTGGTGGTGTGGTTCAGGAAAGAGAAGCCATTCAGCAGTCCTCGTAAGGAGTACCGAAGCCGATGGAAAAGGAT